GTGGCTCAACTACATTTCCTGCGGGTGGTAGTTTTCCTTTCCGAAACGTTTTCGCACCCTCGGTGTCACGTTCGACTCGGCTTCACACTATTACTCGCTATTTGATGAATACTTCGGCGGGAAATTATTGATTTCGCGTCACATTCGTGTTTCTGACACCTTTGGCTAGTTTCCTTCCTATTTTCGTTGAAGGAACGGGGGAACTGAAATTTTTTCAGACGAAAATAGGTTCATAAAAATCATTCTTAGGTATAAGAATGATATTTTCTAAGAAGAAGAAATAACGAAATTGCTGAAATAATCAAATGAAATGTATTGTTCCGAATTTTCATCTAAAGCTATTCGCCTTAAACAATTAAAAGTAGTTATTAGACTGTAGAATTTTACGTGAAATAAAATCTTCTCCGTGTCATTTACAAAGACTGATGTTAATATGAAACTAGTAATAATATATTGAAAACTGACACTTTCAACAATAAAATTACAACAACAACAACAACAACAAGTTCACGTTCAAAACAAAGTATCAAAAATTAACTCAAAAAAATAGGGACTACACTTGCATGCTATTTCGACATTTTTATAACGTTTACAATGCCCAGCATTGACGTGCACATCTTGTGAACAAAAACATTTTTCTAATGACTAAAGTTTGCTTTGAAGCTTTGCAACCTCCGTCTCTCCGTCCAAACGGCGTATCAAGCGGCCGAGATGTGCACATAAAAGATAAACAAAACTAAAAAAATGTTATCTTTCGTCTATATTCCGAATCGAGCAGCAATATTAAAATATACGGCGGAACGTGAAAATATACGGGCAGCATAAAACTGCAATTTTTCCACGGTCCCGTATGAAATTTCGCTGCTCTGTTTGCTTCGAAAATAGAATTGAAAATTTGTTACACCAGGCATCTGCATTCGTGTACTGTCGAACAGTATTGGTGTTCATTTTCTCCTGTAATTGCATTAGAATAATTCCTCTCGAAGTTCAACCATTGTGCCTAGCATCGTTCAAACGCCAATCATGAGCTTCTATTTTTCATTTTACGAGAGCCCGTTTGACTCACCACAATACCTGGTGTTTCTTTTCATGGTTTCCCGTTCCTCGACCTCTAAGAGAAATATATATTATGCTTTTAGCGATCCATCTAAACGAGGAAATATCGTTCCGTAAAATTTTCGGTGGATAGTTTCTTTAACTTTTGCAGATACTCTAGTGTGTATATCGGAATTCTGTGACTATCATAAATGAGAAACAAGTTTTTCATGACCTTATTGATCATCTTGCCGATTGAAATTGTTGAGTGAAATTGTTGTTAAGATCTTGAACATCTCGAAATTTTTCATATCTCTATAGAAAGCAGCTTCCATTGTACATTTTTTGTTAAATAACTCCTTCCTTAAAAAATTTCGAAAACCTTAAATCGAGTTCTATAGAATCTACCGTCGAGTTTTGATTCAAATTCTTAGTTCCTAATACATAGTTACTAAAATTTTATCGAAATTTTGGTATTTCACTATGCACTCAATACACTAAAGAAGCTTGCCTTAGTTTTTTTTTAAATTAAAAGTTTAATGCGCTTTCAGATAAAATAGAAGCGTCATTTAAATATACGAAGCTTCCAACTGTACCGGCTTTTGAAAAATTCTGTAGCGATAAATATAAAACTGATGGTCCAGTGATCATAGTCCGCGGCAAAACCAAATAATTCAAAAACCAATCTATTTTGGAACTCTTTCGAGTTGACGTTCGTAAAATAACCCTGTATGTGTTAGTCTCCGTTGGATTGAAAAATTTCGTAATCCGAGAAATTCGGAAATTTGTCTTTGTATTCGTCACGAAATCGCCGCAATCCTCTTTTGTGCTTCGTTCCCTTCGCTACGTGCACCGGATTCGGTTCGAGCGGACAGTATTTTTCTTTTCCACGACCCTGGCTCGGCGACGCCTTCGTTTTCTGTACGTATTTCATTGGATGGGGTCGGGGCCGACACTACGTTCAATGCGAACTGACGAACACTGGCCAGGAATTACTTTCGTTTCATCTCTGGTTTCTCCGAGCCCCTTTTTTTCAAATTCAATGTCTCGCCAATTGTTCCTCCCCCATCTTCTTCCGTGGACACCGTATGTCTTCGCTTCATCGATGAGAATCTTTTTCCAACCTCAGCATTGCCACCGTTTGTAATGAAACTTTAATAAACAAAAAAAGGAATCGTTTATTGTCATTGACATGCGGTCGACATAATTAAAAATGTCGGGAAGATTTAGTTAGTTAGAAATGAATTTCATGCAATAATTAGTTGATCGTTATTTTTAAAATTCAGAGAATTTACGTTCGTCCACTGAAAAGGTATAGAATGGAGAGCACCTGCTGAGAACACAAGAACAATTCTAACTTAGTAAACACAAAACTAATGTACTAAGTTAAGATCTCTTTTGTTCATTAATCCAGGATTTCCCTGAACTTTGAAGATAATTAACCAACTCTATTCTGCGCTGTGTAAATACATAGATACAGTCATAATTACCTTGTACACCTAGTTTTCACTTACCTTATAACGTTTATACAACGCATGTCAGCTTTCATATGTTTATTGAAACATGAAAAGAATATCTGTGTTTTGCGTAATGTTTATTTAACACGTTCCTTATTGTCATTTGGTTCGTTAACGGTTTTCACAATTTCAGTACTTTGTAAAATGTACTGTATTGTGTTTATGAA